AATCTCAGGGTGGCCCTATCATTCTTTCTCAGGTGTTGTGTAGCCCTCCATTTCTTAGTTGCTTTTTGTGTATTTATCTTCAACCACTAGTGACTGTAGACTTTTCAGTTTAGATCTGACTAAGTGGCCATAGTAACCGTGATATATGCACAATATGCTGTTTCAGATTGAGAATGAGTATGGGGCACAGAGTAAATTACTTGGACCTGCTGGCCAACGTTACGTAAACTGGGCTGCAAAAATGGCTATTGAAACGGGAACGGGGGTCCCCTGGGTGATGTGCAAGGAAGATGATGCACCAGATCCCGTGGTGAGCATTCTCATTCTTCCTTCCTCTAGAAAGTTATGTACTGTAGCATGCTGTGCTTATATGCACCATGAACATATCTTTGTATTTTGATTTGTTATTATTATTATTCTTGTTGTTGTTATCATTATTATTATATAAAAATGGAGCATAACGAATTGTAGCCCCAACCTTTCTTTTTCAAGAACCTTGCATGTTTAGGAGTGTGGTTCATAAATCTGTTTGTTTCCTTTTAATGGCAGATAAACACATGCAATGGCTTTTACTGTGATTATTTTACTCCTAATAAGCCCTATAAGCCTTCAATGTGGACTGAGGCTTGGAGTGGCTGGTAATAATTTTTATTGTTATCCTCTAAGTTTGGAATTAAAGAAACGAGCTTGTATAACTTTCTCTCTCAAATATGTAGGTTTTCTGAATTTGGAGGTTCAATTCATGAAAGACCTGTTCAGGATTTGGCATTTGCAGTTGCCCGGTTCATACAGAAAGGAGGATCTTTTGTTAACTACTACATGGTTGGTTTCTTATCCACTAACTCCATTGAGAAATTGACAATGAAGATGATGACAACAGCATTTACTCTAGTAATTTTCTTTTGCACATGTAGTATCATGGGGGAACCAATTTTGGCCGTACAGCTGGAGGCCCTTTCATCACTACAAGTTATGATTATGATGCTCCACTGGATGAATATGGTGAGAACTGAAAATTTTGTAATTTATGTAACTGCTGGCTATTGCTGTCTTTTTATTTAGTTTATTCATTTACATTTATATCGACAATTTTCCGTCCGAAAACTTGTTCATTGGTCTGAAGTATCGCAATGTAAATGCTTTCGTTAGTTGTCCCAACATTAACCCTAGACCATATTGCTGATTGTTTAACTGACTACATTTGTTAAACAAAAATGATAGGTTTGATTAGGCAACCCAAGTATGGTCATCTGAAAGAGCTTCATAAGGCTATCAAGATGTGTGAGCGGGCTTTAGTTTCAGCTGACCCAGCTGTTACTTCATTGGGGAACTTTCAACAGGTTTAACATACTCCCTCCCTCCCTCCCTCTCTCTCTCTCTCTCTCTCTCCACTGTGCCGCAACTTTCTTTACTGATCCTAGTTAGTATTTTCTTTTTTCCAGGCTTATGTATACTCTGCAAAATCTGGAGACTGTGCTGCATTCCTCTCAAACTATGATACAAAATCTTCTGTTAGAGTTATGTTCAACAATATGCACTATAACTTACCTCCGTGGTCCATCAGCATCCTTCCTGATTGCAGAAATGCTGTTTTCAATACAGCAAAAGTATGTAACAAAAGTCTGAGATTTGAAATCGTATTCCTTTGGTACTCTGCGATCACCATGCTTCCTAGCACACAATTTATTCACCTTCAATATCGTCATCGATGGTATTCAACAATTTAAAATTGTCTAAAGCCACTAAATTCATCTTCTCTTCCGTTAGGTTGGAGTGCAAACATCTCAGATGCAAATGCTGCCAACAAATACTCATATGTTCTCATGGGAGAGATTTGAGGAGGACGTTTCTTCTCTTGATGACAGCTCTGCAATTGCAATCACTACTTCTGGTCTCCTCGAACAGATAAATGTGACACGGGATACAAGTGATTATCTTTGGTATATAACTAGGTAAGCTTGATTTTCTAAATTTGATTAGGCTTGCTTCTTAAGTAAGCTAATCTCGTGTTGTTTTAATTCCACCCACCACACATTGACATTTTGATCAGTATGTAGTCATCATGCTTAACAATTCTCTATGTTCATTTTTCAAATGGCAGATTACTTGCATTAACCATGAAAATAAATGGTTAATTTTATAGATGCTTAATATGGAATTGACATCATGAGATGACTTTGACATTTACTGGAATCTCTCGTAGGATCCTGCTACTAGACGTTTGGAAACCATTTTCTCCTTACTAATTATTTCATATCTATTTTTCTAGTGTTGATATAGATTCATCGGAATCTTTTTTCCGAGAAGGCAAACTACCCTCTCTCATTGTTCAATCCACGGGGCATGCCGTGCATGTTTTTATCAATGGTCAACTTTCAGGTGTGTAGTCTGCTTTCTTCTTTACTAGATCTCGCTCCCATGTTATTAGTCGAAGGAAACAAGATAAATATGATTGAAAACAGGTTCTGCCTTTGGAACACGAGAGGATAGGAGATTCAGATATACTGGCGCAGTAAACCTCCGAGCTGGAACAAACAGAATAGCTCTGCTCAGTGTTGCTGTTGGACTTCCTGTAAGTTTTTTTCCACCTTTACTTTCCGAAGAAAAATCCTACTACATCCAAGTATCGATCGATGCAATCCATTGTCAAAAGTCAATTTTTTGGAAAAACCATTTAAGGTTCTTCTTATATGGTTTCTTCTTGAGTTTTCTTATGAAAGATCTTTTAACCTTTTTTTAATTGAGCGAGTTATCATCAGGTCCACTAATTCTCCTTTTTATTATCTCAACTGTGCTTATAAAGGCTTTATTCTTGTCTATTAATAATTACTATCATTATTTTCGGATGTGTTGTCATAGAATGTAGGAGGACATTTTGAGACTTGGAGCACAGGAATACTTGGTCCTGTTGTACTCCGGGGACTTGACCAAGGAAAGTTGGATTTATCTTGGAAAAAGTGGACTTATCAGGTTGCTTAGTCTTACTTTAGTTTCTTGAGTAGTCTTGGTTACAAAGGAATTTTTTATCGAGACATGCTAACTTTTTAAACAGGTTGGGCTGAAAGGAGAGGCCATGAATCTTGCATCTCCAAATGGTATCACTTCTGTAGAGTGGATGCAGTCAGCATTAGTTTCAGACAGAAATCAACCACTGACATGGCACAAGGTAAAAATAAACAGAAATGTGCTTAAGGCTCATGGAAACCAATTACAGGCCATAGAAAATGATAAAATTTATTGGTATATTTGCAGACTTATTTTGATGCTCCAGATGGAGATGAGCCGTTGGCATTGGACATGGAGGGTATGGGTAAAGGTCAAATATGGATTAATGGACAGAGCATTGGAAGATACTGGACTGCTCCAGCTGCTGGTAATTGCAACGGTTGCAGCTATGCAGGCACCTTCAGACCTCCAAAGTGCCAGGTTGGTTGTGGCCAACCAACCCAGCGGTGGTAAGTATTATTTTTTGTCGACATTGTAGGAAATGCGTGGCACAGTCAGGCTCAGAGTCCCTTATATTTGGCACTAAATATTTCAGGTACCACGTACCTCGATCTTGGTTGAAGCCAAAACATAATCTGCTAGTTGTTTTTGAAGAACTTGGGGGAGATCCTTCAAAGATTTCAATTGTACAGAGATCAGTGAGCAGTGTCTGCGCTGATGTGTCTGAGTACCATCCAAATGTTAGGAATTGGCACATTGAGAGCTATGGGAAATCAGAAGAGTTCCATCCCCCCAAAGTTCACTTGCATTGCAGTCCTGGCCAAGCCATCTCTTCCATTAAATTTGCAAGCTTTGGAACTCCTTTGGGGACCTGTGGAAATTATGAGCAAGGAGTCTGTCATTCTCCCTCTTCTTATTCCATCTTGGAGAAGGTACTCTTCAACTCCATTTCTTAATCCAACTCATCAACTTTGCAATAAGATTTTCTAAAGACGATACCATAACTAATGTTCTTTGTTATTTATCTCAGAAATGTATAGGGAAGCCCAGATGCACGGTCACTGTATCAAACAGTAATTTTGGGCATGACCCTTGTCCAAATGTGTTGAAGAGGTTATCAGTTGAAGCTGTTTGCGCTCCAACCAAGTGGAGGGGATGAATGATTAAAAGCACCATTTTAAGTGCAGTATGCAGTGACTAACAAGAAAAAGTCAAGAACAATAATAGTATAGGTAATGTAAGTGCCATAGTTGTTTTAGGGAGACTTAGTTACTACATTCTGATATGTTGGTGCCGAAGGCACGAGGTTTATGATTTTTATTGAGTGATGTGTCAACGGGATTGTGTAAATTAGTGATTATTGAATAGGAGAGAGTTTTAAACCAAGAGTTCAAAATTTGGACCCTTGTGTGTGAATTTGGAGTGGTAGTTTCCTGCCTTCAAAGTTTTAACTACAGGCACGGAAAAGGTAGGAACTTTGGTTGGTGTGATGTTTTTCTTTTTTCTTTTTTGTTTTAGTTTATGGGGTAAATTAAACTCCAAATCAGGTTTAAGTTAGGAGCGGATCCTACTGTAACCATTCTCTGCACTTTACCTTCTATTTTTCTTTCTTTTTGCTTTTATGTTGCAGAATCTACCAATGGCTTTAATGTTTAAGTGTCTTTTTAAATTTTAACTGATTTTTCTACCGTTTTTTAAATTTAATTATATTTTTAGGTAAAAAGTTATTTATGAAATAAATAAAAATTAATTACAATAAAATTATAAAAGTTATTTATATTTAATTTTATAACTATAATAACAACAATAGTAATAATTTTATTATTTTTTATTANGATACGTGGCTGTGAGAGGGTAAATTTGATAATATGACTGAGGTTAGGAAATCAGAAGTTAGGGTTTCAGGAGTTTTAGAGAAATTGGTAATTTGGGATTGATCATCGTGGAGGAAGTGTGTTGAAATCTGAAGCGCGAATTGGATACCACAACACCTGAGAAAGAATGATAGGGCCACCCTGAGATTCATAGAGTTTCTCACTCTTCGCATTGGACCTTATGTTCATCTTCGCATTGGACCTTATGTTTGTGCAGAATGGAATTTCGGGTACCTTCAAAAATCTCACACCCTTGTCTGTTGTTTGTTTCTAACTCGAGGTTTCGGTCTTGTGGGGTCTTGTTCGATTCTTCAATGATTTCTCTTGTAATGTGCAGAGGGTTTCCTGATTGGCTCAAGTATGTTCCGGGCATCAGTTTTAGAACAGACAATGAACCTTTGAAGGTCTCTCTCTCTCTAGCGCGTGTGCCTGCACATACACACACACACCAAAACCAATTTTCATTACATGAACTGACTAAAGGAAAGTTGGAATTTCTTTCTACTGAAATGGTTTTTTTGATGACCCGTGAACGGTGTTGCAGAGGGCAATGCAAGGGTTCATTGAGAAGATTGTCGGAATGATGAAGAGTGAGAAACTCTATGAATCTCAGGGTGGCCCTATCATTCTTTCTCAGGTGTTGTGGTATTCAATTCGCGCTTCAGATTTCAACACACTTCCTCCACGATGATCAATCCCAAATTACCAATTTCTCTAAAACTCCTGAAACCCTAACTTCTGATTTCCTAACCTCAGTCATATTATCAAATTTACCCTCTCACAGCCACGTATCACCCTCTCACAGCCACGTATTACCCACACAAAGCCACGTAGCTAACTTCAGTCCACCGTGTCAGCTGCTCCGTTAAAAACTCAACGCCGTTTGCAAAAAGGACTTGATTACACACTTTTTACAAAAGGTGTGACCACATTAAACTTCTAAAAAAAGGTAGGACCACATTGAACATTGGCCCCCTTTCGAGGGACCAAAAGAGGTATTAAACCTTCTAAATTTTATACTTATGCAAAATTGTATACTTGCTAATGTCACGCTTTTGGGAAGTCCTTGCTTAAAGTTTTTTTTTTCACGAAGAAATGCATTAATACCCGTATTTTCTCCAGTGTAATCTGGTAAGTTTGAATGTGGGTGATTTAAAAATAACATGATTGTGGAAAAAAAAAACAAAAAACTTAGGATAGGTTAATGGGCTATTTATTATCATAAGAGTCTACTCCAGTCTTATTCAAATTCTAGTGCGTCTGAATACTGTCAATGGCATATCAAATTAAAAAGCAACAATGATTAATGAGTTCTGAATATAAAGTTATCAATTGGGAGTTCACGTGGACACTGTTTCTCAGAATCCGCTATCACCTAACTAATATATCACCTAACCTAACTCTAGGTCCTTTACACAACATATGATTTTTCACATTAATATAAATTAAGTCTAGACATATATTAACTGTGCAGTGGGAAAAGTGTTACACAACCACGGTTCTCTCCTCTCCAACAACTGGTGCTGCAGTGATAATGAAGAATAAAATTATTGACATAAATGTCTTCTAAACTCACATATAAGAATGCTACCACTGTTTTATTTGTACGTTATTTGTGAAATTGTTATTAGATTTAATATATAGTTTTATATACATTATTAAATATTATAAGATAACTTAATGTATGAAATGAATTTTATTTTATTTATTAATTATAAATTGATTTTAAATTAATTATAATAAATAGTATATTGATTATAAACTGAATAATAAGAAAAATTGATTATAAATTGATCCAACGTGAAATGTAAACCATAATAAAACTTTTTAATAAAATAACAAACTAGTCGATATAAAGTGTGATTTATTATAATGTACTTTTATATTACGTTATAAAAAACGCAAATCTATTATGACCGTTAAAAGCATCACACTAATTCATCTGTCATAACCTAACCGTTAAAAGTATGACACCAATTCATCTATCATAGATTAATTTTAGCTGTCATAAAAAATCATTTATGTACTAATTTGTTATTCTACTTTTATTATACATCTAAATTGAATATATTATATTGAGACTTGTACTATTTTATAAATTTTCAATAAAAATTCAACTAGATAATGCATTAGAAAACGTATATCAAAGAGTAAGTTAGAAAATGCATGTCCTTGTACCAGCAATTATTAGGAAAATGGTAGCTTTTTATTATTTAATATTTTCCAATTTAATGCTTTTAAAATAAAATTGAAGTTTGTCTCGGATAAATGACTTACAAATTATATATCATCATCACAGGTATTTTGTAATTTTAATTTTCAATATGTTGGCTGTACTTTTATGAAAGTACATCAGATCTTTTCCTTACGTCCAACACGTCTCACTGTCATGACATAATTTTCTGCTCCCTTCTACCACGAGAATTTTAAAGTGTTAATATTGCGAACTGGACTTTGATTTCTGCTCTTATTCTTATTTTTTTGTTTTCTACAAAAGCTTTGCTCCAATCAAATCGTCCATTTATTCTGTTTCTTCCCTCAGTCAATGTTAATAAATTAAAAAGTATCACTCTTTATAGTATTTACAAAACTCAGTCATAACCTTGCAGTACATACATATATATCTCTATATATTCAAATGGAACCATACACAAATAATTGTATTAAGATATAACAACAACATCCATGTAGATAAAACAACTACTTCTTGTCATTTCGTAGTTGATTATGAAAAGTTATGGTGCCTATCATATAACAAAAATGTTTTTTCTTTATTAACATAGGACAAAAATTATTTGTGTTATAATATTTAAAAGTCACACAGCCATAATATAATAGAAAATAAATTACATTAGCCAAATTAATATATAAATGATTAAGAATTCAATATAAGTTGAAAGTTTCGTACTAATTAAAAATAAGTAAGAAAGAGAACATATAAATAGAATGACCATAAACTTATATTATTTTAAAATTTTGTCTTACTCTTATTTGAGTTTGTTTATAGTGTTGAAACTTCTGTAACAAACTTTATCAATAATAATTGATCTTAATAATGACTTAAACCCATATGATATAATAAAATAAGTAAAATATGTCCTAAAATGTTTAAATTTTTTTATGTGAAAGATATTTTATTTTAAGAAAACGCATAATAACCCAACAACCACGTAACGACGTACCTGAGAGGAAGAGACGAAGGTACCTAGCCAGCAACGCAATGTTTGTTTAGTAATTTAAACTGGACTATTTCCAATTTTATATAAGTGAAAAAGGAGGAATGAAAGGTAAGTTTCCAACCGATTTGTAGAGTCTAAAGCTAGGTTGGTACATAAATTCAAAGTGGATGTAAGAGGTCTAATTTTTGCTACAAATAACTATGAACTAGCAAATTATAAAATCTTTATACATTTATATTTACTCCATATAAATTTATAAAAATTCTTCGTTGATTAAACAAGAATAAAAATATGAAATCAAATACGAGAAAGCGTTAATAAATCCTAAATCAAGT